TCCGGACAGCCTGTACTTTCTCGGTACATCTGTATACAAGTCCGGACAGCCTGTACTGTCTCGGTACATCTGTATACAAGTCCGGACAGCCTGTGCTGTCTCGGTACATCTGTATACAAGTCCGGACAGCCTGTTCTGTCTCGGCACATCTGTCTAGAAGTCCGGACAGCCTGTACTGTCTCGGTACATCTGTCTAGAAGTCCGGACAGCCTGTACTGTCTCGGTACATCTGTATACAAGTCCGGACAGCCTGTGCTGTCTCGGTACATTTGTATACAAGTCCGGACAGCTTGTACTGTCTCAGTACATCTGTATACAAGTCCGGACAGCCTGTACTGTCTCGGTACATCTGTATACAAGTCTGGACAGCCTGTACTGTCTCGGTACATCTGTATACAAGTCTGGACAGCCTGTACTGTCTCGGTACATCCGTCTACAAGTACGGACAGCCTGTGCTGTCTCGGTACATCTGTACACAAGTCCGGACAGCCTGTGCTGTCTCGGTACATCTGTATACAAGTCCGGACAGCCTGTACTGTCTCGGTACATCTGTACACAAGTCCGGACAGCCTGTGCTGTCTCGGTACATCTGTATACAAGTCCGGACAGCCTGTACTGTCTCGGTACATCTGTCTAGAAGTCCGGACAGCCTGTAATGTCTCGGTACATCTGTCTAGAAGTCCGGACAGCCTGTACTGTCTCGGTACATCTGTATCCAAGTCCGGACAGCCGGTACTGTCTCGGTACATCTGTATACAAGTCCGGACAGCCTGTGCTGTCTCGGTACATCTGTCTAGAAGTCCGGACAACCTGTACTGTCTCGGTACATCTGTATACAAGTCCGGACAGCCTGTGCTGTCTTGTTACATCTGTATACAAGTCCGGACAGCCTGTACTGTCTCGGTACATCTGTATCCAAGTCCGGACCGCCTGTGCTGTCTCGGTACATCTGTACACAAGTCCGGACAGCTTGTGCTGTCTCGGTACATCTGTATACAAGTCCGGACAGCCTGTACTGTCTCGGTACATCTGTATCCAAGTCCGGACCGCCTGTGCTGTCTCGGTACATCTGTACACAAGTGTGGCCAGCCTGTGCTGTCTCGGTACATCTGTCTAGATGTCCCAACAGCCTGTACTGTCTCGGTACATCTGTATCCAAGTCCGGACAGCCTGTACTGTCTCGGTACATCTGTATACAAGTCCGGACAGCCTGTACTGTCTCGGTACATCTGTATACAAGTCCGGACAACCTTTACTGTCTCGGTACATCTGTATACAAGTCCGGACCGCCTGTGCTGTCTCGGTACATCTGTACACAAGTCCGGACAGCTTGTGCTGTCTCGGTACATCTGTATACCAGTCCGGACAGCCTGTACTGTCTCGGTACATCTGTATCCAAGTCCGGACCGCCTGTGCTGTCTCGGTACATCTGTACACAAGTGTGGCCAGCCTGTGCTGTCTCGGTACATCTGTCTAGATGTCCGAACAGCCTGTACTGTCTCGGTACATCTGTATCCAAGTCCGGACAGCCTGTACTGTCTCGGTACATCTGTCTAGAAGTCCGGACAGCCTGTACTGTCTCGGTACATCTGTATCCAAGTCCGGACAGCCTGTGCTGTCTCGGTACATCTGTATACAAGTCCGGACAACCTTTACTGTCTCGGTACATCTGTATACAAGTCCGGACAGACTGTGCTGTCTCGGTACATCTGTATACAAGTCCGAACAGCCTGTACTGTCTCGGTACATCTGTATACAAGTCCGGACAGCCTGTACTGTCTCGGTACATCTGTCTAGAAGACCGGACAGCCTGTACTGTCTCGGTACATCTGTCTAGAAGTCCGGACAGCCTGTACTGTCTCGGTACATCTGTATCCAAGTCCGGACAGCTTGTGCTGTCTCGGTACATCTGTATACAAGTCCGGACAGCCTGTACTGTCTCGGTACATCTGTATACAAGTCTGGACAGCCTGTACTGTCTCGGTACATCTGTATACAAGTCTGGACAGCCTGTACTGTCTCGGTACATCCGTCTACAAGTACGGACAGCCTATACTGTCTCGGTACATCTGTATACAAGTCCGGACAGCCTGTACTGTCTCGGTACATCTGTCTAGAAGTCCGGACAGCCTGTACTGTCTCGGTACATCTGTCTAGAAGTCCGGACAGCCTGTTCTGTCTAAGTACATCTGTATACAAGTCCGGACCTATGTTGATCAAAGATGGCCAGCATGTCTTAGATTTGATGTGATCGGATGGTCTAGTCGGAAGGATAACCTCAGCGGTTAGTAGAACGTTACATGTTAATCAATCAGATTAATTCCCATTACCACGTATCTCGAAAACTCACACCTACATTTCTATAAATTATTCAGCGTCCTTCCCACAAACACCGATTTAACGAAAGAACACTAAAATCATCCAGTATTATTTCTACGAACTCTTTCTTCCAAACTCTTAATCACAAAAAAATGTATAGATTTCTTACCATGAACATGGGTTAGTAAAATTCTTACTCATCAATATTATTCGGCATTTTGTTTGTGCTAGTATACTCTACCTTTGGTTATTGAGTGACCAGACTCTACGCAAAGCCTCGTTTCCGACCTAAACTGAACACCCTTGCCTTCCTAAGCCCTTGGCATCGCTGACAAGCCATACAATGGCGAAACAGCTGTATGATGCAACTTAACTAATATTGTGACTCTACTGTATCTAACTCTAAATTTGTATTAAAGGTGCTATATCCTTGTGCCATTTTTAATTTCAATTGGAAATGTTAATGAAGAAAGAAAACATTTAGAAGTGTGTTTCACTCCCTACTAACGCAATGTTTCAGATATATGTCCAAATTAATGGACCGAGACATGTCAATTAGTTTCCCTATTTTGAAAATATTTTTAAATGATATCGATAAACGGGGAATGTACAGTGAAAACATTGACACAGTAAAAGTCGTGACGTGTGTATAACATTGTTTTAATGGAGTTAAATATACTTGGTTCTGATAGTCCGACAGTTAATTGTATAGCACATTGTTCAAAGCAAACTAAACATATCGCCGTCTGCCTGTCTCTGTGTGTCGATCATTCTTATCACTATTGAATTAGGATTACAGTCTTTGCGACACTGTTCATGTAAGCGGAGTTGAAAGAACACCCATGAGCCTTTCACAGACCTTAGGCACTCCCTACTAAAAGCAGTTCTGGTATAAGAAAAAAATACCAACATGTCAAGATGCATTATAATCCAAACTCACATTCAATAAAACTAGGGCAAGACATGAACACAAGAAAGATCAACATGGAGATTCAGGAAGAGTAAGCGTTTCATCCCTGACACCCGCCATGCAAATTTTGGTCACGCGAAGTAAGTCACGTTCTCAAACGAGAACAAGGTATACAACAACAGAACCAACAGACAATATCAAACACGTCCAGCTTCATATCGCACAAAGGAATAGAACATTTCTCCTTGGTCTTTTAAAACCCTGTGTTACGAGTTTGACCGTCAGTTGACCACTTCTTGGACAAAAATCGTGATAATGGAACAGGAACTTCATATCGAAATAATTGGAAATCAAACAGAGAAATCAAAATCATCACGCTTGAATACAGGTTGGTGGAAAGCTGTCCATGTTTGTGTCTTGTAGAGAAAAACAGATAAGGGACTGGTTTTCCTACCCTAGTGGTTCTATATGGTGGATGTAATCAATACATTTCATGTTATTTAAAGACATGACGACATTAATATATCTAAAAGTAAAATAAAACGACTTTGCAAGGTTTCGTGACCTTTTTGATAAGTTCAGCCATGTGTGGAGCAATAACAAGTCGGCCAACAGATGAGCAGTTCTCAATCTAGGATCTAGGAATTTGTACATTGATAAACAGTATCAGAACCAGTATCAAACATGATAACGTCTTCAATAAGATTTTCAATATTTATTTTTATAAAAATAGTTTACGGTAGCAAGTTAAATCTTCAGATCAGGAAATGGACTTCTAAACCTCATTTTGGCCAAATCTGTAACATCCTATATCAACTATAAAAAAAAATAATGATACAAGAAAATAGACTAAAATATCCAGAAAATTAAATAAATGAACAAGTAAATAATGATAGATAAAGAGGAGGACCACGGGGCTTAACTGCAAACTCATATTCTTAACATACACAAATGTCAGTACTCCTAAAGAACCAATATCAACAGCCGGGGCCACCTTGTCATTGACAGGTTTGAAGATTATAACACATATGACTTTTGACTTTTAGAAAGGGGAAAGGTCAATCACATCGACAAAATTGGTACCCTTCATCCCAGCATGCCATATGCACAATATCAGTAACCTATGCCTTATGGCTATTCAGAAGAAGTAAGATTTTGACATTTTACACCTAAAAACGGTCAAGGTCAAGAATATGCACAAACTTGATAGTCCTTCATCTTAGCATGCTATGGGCTCAATATCAGTTCCCTGGGCCTTTTGGTTATCAAGAAGAAGTCATTTGAATGGAAAGTATACTCTCTGTGCATGGTGCACGACGATGACGGGCGTAACACAATGACTATAGGTCATAAGATCTAATCATGACACTTTTAAAAAAAAATATTCAGAATATCATACAATGGTATTTTCAGTTCTGACAAAGTAGAGAATGCTTCTCCAGATTGATTTGACACTATAAAAGTGAACATGAATCCTTTATGAATGAAACAAGATTTCTCGGGTTTATCACACTGTGATCAACCAATTAGGTCCTTTATTCTGATATCCAAGAGTTACTGCCCTTCATTTCCCTCTACTAATTGGGATTTACAATAAGGTCCTTTTGAGGCAGATTCCTGTGTAGTAAATGGGTGTTACATCATTGAACATCATGCTGGAGAACCATCAGATGCTATCTAAAACAGATGCAGTAAACAGTCAAAAGACGCAACAATTACAGCAGAAGACTGTCCATGCTCTGGGCTTTTACAAAAAACAACAAACGAGTGATTGATTATTTAAGGTAGTTTTAATTTGTATCTCCTCAAACCTTTAGCCCCAAGTCCTTCAGGGCTAAATCCATGGTTACAACATCATATTGAGGTAGAAATGAATTAACATTGTCTTACTATAGACTTTCATGTTATTTCTTCTAACTTCTGTCTCGTGTATCAAGTCTACCTAGACTCTCATGTCCAACGTTTTACGTATTATCATTATACATATTTAGTCAATACTTTAGTTAATATCTTAAGATTTTTAGTTTATCTTTGACATGTATTAAGCCTGACCGAGGTCTAACTCTTCTGTAAGTTTGGTTTATCTCCTGTCTAGCATACTTGACAATTAGTCCTTGTAACTTTGACAAAGTTTAAGTCCTCCCTCAAGTTCTAAATGTCATTTGTATTTAGATCAAATTTTAACTCTCAAATGATTTCAAGGAAAGTTTTGGCACTTGTGCTCTCTTAAATCTGCATTTGATATTATTAAGACTCAAAAATTGTTCCTATTTTTTCACTTAATATTGATTAATTCAGTGAAAATAAATCTTTTCTATCTTTGATGAGTAAATATTTGCTATCAAATAACCTTTCCTTCAAGCAATGAAGTAAAAATGTACAAAGATTAAGTAAATGCAACTAAGAGAAAAAAAGCACTTCCAACCTGAATATTGACCAAAGTTGAGATAAGGAGTACTGCTGTACATGTCCAAATAAAACAATAAAAGGAAATCCTACACAAAATGAAGTTGTTACTGTCAGATTTTGTTATATGGTCGATGACATTGTTACAGAAATAAACTTGGTGTCAAAATATTCAAATATTAGTGTGAGTTATTGAAGAGTCCATGGCATTTAATATTTCATGAAAAAACTGTTTGCTTTTTTCACAACACAATATCAACATTGAAAGGCTATATGGAATATACACAAACATATTTCGGAACATCAATTTAGTAGTAATGCTATTGTGATTTTGATTTCTTGCTCTGGTGGGCTATGTGTTAGAAGTTGAACAATCATACGGTATCGTACAGTGAAAATTAATTAATTATGCAATTCTTGTGGCCAAAATGTTTCAACAGATTTCTTTTTCTATCAAGTTTCTTCTATATTTCAATTATGTTGAATAAAGGATCACAAAGATTACAATATATTGGTACTAAAACACATACTTGTATAAGAAAGAATCATTTACAGGCTTTTGTAAGAAATATATGCCTCTAAATTATTACCTCCCCTTTCTATGTACATGCAGGCCGGCTAAAATGGGTTATCTCCCCTCCCCTAAAGTATGTTTGATGTTTGATATTTTCACTTGGTGTGTTTGTATATGTAGATTGTTGAAACCATTTGATTTATAATTTGAGCTTCTGAAAACTCTGACGTATGCATTACAGCAACAATCATTTATAGAAAATTTGGTATTTATAATGTTTATTTTCCAGATACCAGACAGTGCCATGCTATTTTCAAAAATATAATGAAAGCCATTTCAAATCAAATTCATAACAGAACATTTTTAAAAGGATTAATATGAAATGGAAAGTGATCCCACAGACTTCTTACTTTCCTTGTACTAATGACTGGACATTCACACAAACAGTGTTTCAAAGTGTCTCTCCCTCATCCATCTTACATACCTCACTGGATATTGCACTATTAATACAGGGTTTTGTTAATTAATTTCAATTCTTATAGGACTAAGTAATATATTTCAGAGGTGAAAATGGAGTAAATTGTAAACGTAAATGACAAAATTATGCCCCTTATTTGTCATTTATCAAGCCTAAAAACCAAAAAGAAAATGAAAGTTAAACAGGTAATCTGACAAGCTGCATGTGTCATTTTAATGACAGTTTGGAATTTTTATTTATCTTTAAGTTAGAGAATTATAAACGACAGTAAAACTCATTCCTTAGCACTAAACGTTTTGAATATTCTGTGGACATACTTTTCCACTATCAAATAAGCATGATTGTCACCAACCATACTTCCAAGGTATATACATGTACGTCTACATATGTTAAAATTAATCAAGATTTCTTATAAAGTGTGATAAAAGTTACAAAATGGATCTAGAATGAGGAAAACTTGGAAAAAAAAATACAGAACAAAACAAACAAAACAGCACTGCAGAAAATATCTTCTGCACTATGGACAAATTACAGAACTTCAATGAAGAATGAGCCACATTCCCTATCTTTCAAATAATTCAAAAGTCTGGTTTCTATGAAATAGACACTAATCACATCAGCTGCTGTCAAAATTTCCCAACATCATGCTCCTGACTCATAACTTTGGCTCTGGAAGGAAAGCAACATTTTTAATTGATATAGTTACTTTTTCCAGCATAAAAGGACCATGTCTGCCTTAATGATATTACAAATTAATGATATCGGTGTCATCGGAGACAAAGAATTTCACTTTTACTTTGGATGCACTATAAAGCATTCCATTATCAGGCCTAAACGCAATAAAACTAACCAAACCTATTTGTTTCTGGATGTTATTTCTAAGTGGCCAAGCCTGGAGAAGCTTTTTTGCCCTGATCGCAGTAATTCTGCACCAACAATGGTTAACAAAATTAATAAAGAATTCTTGAAACAGATATTGATTTTTTTGTCAGTTATTGAAATTAAAATGACAAACAGGACAACAGCATGTGAATACCAATATCACATGTCTGAGAGAATATTAGAGTTACATTAGGAATAAACAGCTTTATGTCTGAGAGAATATTAGATTTAAATTAGGAATAAACAGCTTTATGTCTGAGAGAATATTAGATTTACATTAGGAATAAACAGCTTTATGTCTGAGAGAATATTAGAGTTACATTAGGAATAAACAGCTTTATGTCTGAGAGAATATTAGAGTTACATTAGGAATAAACAGCTTTATGTCTGAGAGAATATTAGATTTAAATTAGGAATAAACAGCTTTATGTCTGAGAGAATATTAGAGTTACATTAGGAATAAACTGCTTTATGTCTGAGAGAATATAAGAGTTACATTAGGAATAAACAGCTTTATGTCTGAGAAAATATTAGATTTACATTAGGAATAAACTGCTTTATGTCTGAGAGAATATTAGAGTTACATTAGGAATAAACAGCTTTATGTCTGAGAGAATATTAGAGTTACATTAGGAATAAACAGCTTTATGTCTGAGAGAATATTAGATTTACATTAGGAATAATGCTGACATTTTATACAATAAATCTGAGGTACAAATTAGCAGTAGTCGGTGGAAATAGACACACAAATTAACAACATGAAGAACAATATCAGACAGGTTCGATGATGAAACAAATGATACCTTTGCATATATTTCATACCGTGTAATTTTTACCCAAAATTTTTGACCCTGTAGTATGAGTATAATGTGTGAGCAAGGTATTAAAAAGAGTATTTAAAGGAAATATGGAGGGCATAATAAAAACATCTGATACAATAACACACAACAGATATTGAATGATAATACTTTGATATTAGTTAAGAAATTCATACAGTACACTAACAGGGAGCCAGCTTTAAAATGTATAGGTTATACTGAAAATTTTCACGGAAATCTGTAAATCTGCTTAAAGATCATCTAATTCACATAATCCTGAAAATTTTAGATCATTTGATTTCGTTTATTTCACCTGCATGTGAAAAAGCCCTTTTTGTAATTGTAAATGAACTTACTTAATAAATGTTCAACAAGGTTGTAACATATAAATACACATCACAACCTTAATTAATGAATAATCATCACATTTTAATCTGTTGAATAATCATTAAGTTAGCCTTACTATTCAAGAACCCAGTAAGTGTAACTCTTTTGAATATTTATTTAGTAATTGCCAAAAAGCCATTCCGTCCTACAAGAAAGTGGATTTTACATACAAATGTATCACTTTTTCATTCAGATTATTCAATCGTTAGCTTGTCAATCTTATTTCAGTCTTATTAACCATCATGTAATGTTGCCAACGTGAAGGTATTTTCCAGCCATTCAATAAACCTACTTCTTAGTTTGTAAAACAGGAATTTTTCATAATGCTTACAGTACAATTAGTATACAATATATATACATTGTTACATATTTATTTACACACTGTGCTCGAAAAGATTGAAAAGGAAAAAAGAAACAATATTACATATTATGTACCATACAAAAAGGACATCCATTGAATACGCTGTATCACAGGGTTGTGTTGGTTGGATGACTAAACATCGAAGTATCGTAATATTAATCCAATGAAAAAATGTGTGAGAGCAAACTAAGAAATATCATCTTGTCCTTTTGGCATTGTTTGCACACACACACATGAACGCACGCACGCGCACACATGCACACACACCACCACACACACACACACCCTCACACACACACACACACACCCTCACACACAACCTCACACATAAACACCAATACACCCACACACACACAGAAACACTGATGACAGAATCACAGGCACAAGATGTTTATAAAATCTTATCACCAGGTCTGCCTCTAATAGAGATAACCTATCATACAATCAACTAATGTAAATCAGATAATGCTTACTGGTAAAGAAAACAGTCCAGTTACAGGCCATGGTTGGCCCAGACTGTCCCATCTCAAGATTTAGGTACAGGCCATGGTTGGCCCAGACTGTTCCATCTCAAGATTTAGGTACAGGCCATGGTTGGCCCAGACTGTCCCATCTCAAGATTTAGGTACAGGCCATGGTTGGCCCAGACTGTCCCATCTCAAGATTTAGGTACAGGCCATGGTTGGCCCAGACTTCCATCTCAAGATTTAGGTACAGGCCATGGTTGGCCCAGACTGTCCCATTTCAAGATTTAGGTACAGGCCATGGTTGGCCCAGACTTCCATCTCAAGATTTAGGTACAGACCATGGTTGACCCAGACTGTTCCATCTTAAGTTTTAGGTACAGGCCATGGTTGGCCCAGACTGTCCCATCTCAAGATTTAGATACAGGCCATGGTTGACCCAGACTGTTCCATCTTAAGTTTTAGGTACAGGCCATGGTTGGCCCAGACTGTCCCATCTCAAGATTTAGGTACAGGCCATGGTTGGCCCAGACTGTTCCATCTCAAGATTTAGGTACAGGCCATGGTTGGCCCAGACTTCCATCTCAAGTTTTAGGTACAGGCCATGGTTGGCCCAGACTGTTCCATCTCAAGTTTTAGGTACAGGCCATGGTTGGCCCAGACTGTTCCATCTTAACTTTTTAAGCGAATGACACAATTAACAATTGTTAGACAGCACAAATATTAAAAAGTGACCTTCAAATTAACAAAGCTGTTTCTTAAGGTCATTATGTAAGTCTTTCAAGGTCAACATGTTAACCACTGACCATCAACATATCAACCACATGTTCACAAGAACATATCAACCCCATGGTCCAGGAACATCTCAAGGTAATTTGATTAATATATCAAGGTCAAGATTACAATCTCTCAAGGTCATTATATAATTACTTAAATACATAAATAAGTCATGTGTACAAAATCATTTTTCTTAATTACTTAGTATGCTATAATCTTTCCAGTGTCAAGGGCTCACAGCTCCAGAGTCCCCACTCAAAACGGACACTTTATTGCTCAGGTATTCAATCATCCATGACTATCTAATCTCTCACCCAAGCCTCAATGACCGTCTGCCCGTGGCGGCCATTTTGAAAGACTCACAACCTAACAGGAATGAACCAGATGCTGTATCACATTCAGCACTAGCACAAAAGTCCACAACAATGATGGTTGCCATGGTGACAGCCTATGACTATTAGAATAACCATAGTGATCCTCGCTGACAGTCTGTTCTTGGGTAACCCCCTTTGATGACATGTATCTCTCTGCTAGCTGGTTCATCAAATCTGACCTGAAATATCAAACAATGTCTCTGTAAAACATTCACCATTAATGTACTTTCAAATTCAAGCAAAACACCAGAAAAATGGGAATTGTTATCCTGCACATTGGATATTTGAAGAAATCAATATTTAAGAAATGCCAGGAAATCCTTCAGAGCAGAAATCATGTCTTATAACCAGATATAATGGATAAAGAAGTGATATTGTTTTCTTAAGTGAAATGACAATTAACAATGGCTTATTGCCGAATAAACAATGTAGAGTTTTGCCTAAGTGAAGTGATACTTTACATGGGCTTATTGCTGAATAAACAATGTAGAGTTTTGCCTAAGTGAAGTGACAATTAACAATGGCTTATAGCTGAATAAACAATGTAGAGTTTTGCCTAAGTGAAGTGATACTTTACATGGGCTTATTGCTGGATTAAGACTGAAAAGTTTTGCCTAAGTGAAGTGATACTTTACATGGGCTTATTGCTGGATTAAGACTGAAAAGTTTTGTCTAAGTGAAGTGATACTTTACATGGGCTTATTGCTGAATAAACAATGTAGAGTTTTGCCTAAGTGAAGTGATACTTTACATGGGCTTATTGCTGAATAAACAATGTAGAGTTTTGCCTAAGTGAAGTGATACTTTACATGGGCTTATTGCTGGATTAAGACTGAAAAGTTTTGCTTAAGTGAAGTGATACTTTACATGGGCTTATTGCTGAATAAACAATGTAGAGTTTTGCCTAAGTGAAGTGATACTTTACATGGGCTTATTGCTGAATAAACAATGTAGAGTTTTGCCTAAGTGAAGTGATACTTTACATGGGCTTATTGCTGGATTAAGACTGAAAAGTTTTGCTTAAGTGAAGTGATACTTTACATGGGCTTATTGCTGAATAAACAATGTAGAGTTTTGCCTAAGTGAAGTGATACTTTACATGGGCTTATTGCTGAATAAACAATGTAGAGTTTTGCCTAAGTGAAGTGATACTTTACATGGGCTTATTGCTGAATAAACAATGTAGAGTTTTGCCTAAGTGAAGTGATACTTTACATGGGCTTATTGCTGAATAAACAATGTAGAGTTTTGCCTAAGTGAAGTGATACTTTACATGGGCTTATTGCTGAATAAACAATGTAGAGTTTTGCCTAAGTGAAGTGATACTTTACATGGGCTTATTGCTGAATAAACAATGTAGAGTTTTGCCTAAGTGAAGTGATAACTTACATGGGCTTATTGCTGGATTAAGACTGAAAAGTTTTGTCTAAGTGAAGTGATACTTTACATGGGCTTATTGCTGGATTAAGACTGAAAAGTTTTGCCTAAGTGAAGTGATACTTTACATGGGCTTATTGCTGGATTAAGACTGAAAAGTTTTGCCTAAGTGAAGTGATACTTTACATGGGCTTATTGCTGGATTAAGACTGAAAAGTTTTGCCTAAGTGAAGTGATACTTTACATGGGCTTATTGCTGAATAAACAATGTAGAGTTTTGCCTAAGTGAAGTGATACTTTACATGGGCTTATTGCTGGATTAAGACTGAAAAGTTTTGCCTAAGTGAAGTGATACTTTACAAGGTCTTATTGCTGGATTAAGACTGAAAAGTTTTGCCTAAGTGAAGTGATACTTTACATGGACTTATTGCTGGATAAAGATTGAAGTTTTGCCTAAGTGAAGGGATATTGATTGTATTTGATGAATATCCTCCATCTGGACTTTTATTGAACAAAAAAAAACACACTACAGCTCAACTTTGGTTTTCCCAAATAATAGTGTCAAATATGTGGAGCATTCAAAGTGTTTCAGTATTGCTTTCTTGGAATCTTTGTGTGACGGAGTCAGCACTTAATTCAATATCTATGAGCAAATTCCTTCTTTACAATTCAATTTCAAATGAAAAACACGAAAATTAAAGCTAGGTCTGGCAAGTAGTTTTAAATAGAAATTTGAAGTGGCAATGCTTTCAGACTAAATGCGGCTTTCCTGATCACAAACTAAATATAAATTCAAAGGTTCAATTTCTCTGATTTTTTTTCTTTTAAATTATTTTTTTTTGAAGTCTCTAAAATACGTACGTCTCGGCATCCATCTTTACCCAAAGGTCGTTAAACGGTTTCTCTTTGTACCGATTGTAGATTTTCTTTCTGTGTTTATCCCTCTTTTTCAACCAATCACTGTAACAAAAATACACTACATCGTGAACACTGAAGTATATTACTTTGGAATGGTGTTGTATTGGTTAACATCCTATCTACTGTTAGGATGATTTACGGACAGCCTTAATGTGTATGGCAGGTGAGTGTTGACTGTATGTGTTTCCAGGAACAATACACCCCACCTGGTAACACTATAGTGACATTGTCACTACACTTTCACAATGCTGATTGTGTCTCAAACAGTGGACCCTTCACCATTCCTCACAGGGATAAACACTCCAATGAGGGACAAAAGTGATACTGTGTCCAGGGAGACGTTATGAAAAACAATAGTTTATAATTCTTAAAAATATCATATCCCAAATTTAGTGACCTACTGACGAACATGCACTGAGAACAACAGGTAACATCCTTATACCCTATCTGAAGGACATGAAGAATATTGGAGCAGAAATTCAATTTGAATATCTAGTATGATACAAATAAGTATGATTCCTTCAATTGCACTTGAAAGCAAATCACAAAAACTCATAAGCACACAAAAACAGAATGGTTTACAGAAGGTATCACACAGGTGTATCATTTTATTTTTTTTCACAAAGACTGAAAACGGCACAAAGACTGAAAATAGCCTTATAGTTACAAGTCAATCTAAATACAGGCCAGTGTTCTCAGATACTTTAAAAACAGACAAGCACTCCACCATAATGTGATTTCTTCACAGAGCACTCAAACTGTCTTTTCAGTGATGGACAGGAAATTGTAAGCAATCACTTTTTTACAGAAGAAATCTAAGAAACCCAAGGATTTCTAAACCAGCCCAATTAAGCTACCTATAGAGTTTATCACCCCAAACAAATTCTCAAGGTGCAAAACCAGTTCTATTCTGCAACCTTGAGAATTTAACCAGTTCTATTCCACCAGAAATCCAAATTCTTCACAAAGCTAGTTACCTTAGAACTATGCTGTGGAGTTTCGAGAGAAAGTGAAATTCATCTAGAATTACTGTACAGATACTACATAACCATTAGCCTTAGAAAAAATCTCTTTTTCAGGCTGATAAACCCACATATTCACTCGATAAAAAGGTCAGTAATTGTTTCATAATATGACAACTATCCATGCTTCTGATAGGTCAGGATTTCAGCACAGTTTACAGAATCGCTGAATTCCACTGTGAGATGCCTGACAGTTGATTTAGATGTACTTACCTATAATCTGTGTCTGACTCCAACTGGAACCAGAAATCACTAAAGCTATCATAATTTGGGAACGATGTGTTCTTTCCTTTCTTTCTATTATTTTTTCCATGGTGCTTATTAGAATTTTTATCATGTCTACAAAAGAAAAAAAATGAAAATAAAACTGTCTGTAGTACAATTCAATGTAAATAAAAAGGAACCAAATTCAATGAAATTGTGGGTATTCCAAATTATGATCTGGAAAAAATGACATTTCAAAGAAATAACTGAAGGATTTCTTTATAAAAAAATAAAACTATTTTTCATTAATAGGAGATACTCTACCACAAATCACAGGTGTAATAGAAATGTAGCATACCTCCTTAAGTCTGAAATCTATTGATGCTAACTTACTTTGGAATGATGCTATCTGCGGGCGTATGTTCCACCCTGTATCCTTCCTCCCACAGGCGGTCTAGGATGGTATTGTTACCAAGGAAATGACCTACAATAAAGAAAGATTACATAAATAGGCTTATCAGCAGAAACAAACAATTATCAACATTGATCACAAAACAAATACTTTTTGCTCAAAATTTCATAAATAACCCTGCAGTGACAGCCTATGATTTGACCTTCAATAAGCCAGCTTGTGCTGATCTGTAAGTCCACTATTTGATATGTTTGTACTTCAGAAGAATAGTTACTGTCTTCTACACAATAATGTCTGTGTACGTGGGACTGATCCACACTGGACTTTTGATGACAAATAATGTGACTGGATTTTTAACAGCTCTGTATGTCAAAAGCTAGTGAACTCTAGTGCATTACCATGTGAGTGAACTCCAGTCCAAGAGGTAGTGATCTCCAGAACACTGTGATGTTACTCTAGTGTACAAGGTAGTGAGCTCCAGTACACAAGCATGTGAGCTCAAGTACACTATGATGTTAACTTCAGTGCACATGCTAGTAGGATGGAGTTCACCCAGGAGCACTAGACTACCAATTTGTGTTTATAATTCTGTGAAATAAATCTTCTGGACAAAAGTTGGAGTTTATTTTCTCTGATAAAGTTATAATTAGATTTATCAAAATATGGTTTACATTACATACAGAATGGAACATCTATATCCCGAACACCTACCACTTACAACTAAAACAGACTTCAATTCCACACTTGTCATGTGTAGGGTATATGTTTAGAACATAAATCAAAGAAGTCTGGAGCTTTTTTCCCACAAAACTTAAGTAACAAAGGTCATTGGCAACAGAAACCTGCCATAATTTCTGTAACTTATAAAGGCCTTGTTGTCTTGTGAGTTCTAATTTTAATAATACTACCCAGTGTAGTAAGCAAGTCCCTTAAATCATTAAAAAACAAGTGACATAATCTGTCAAGGTGATTACAGAGGAAACTGTTGATAGAATTCTTCCTATTACACTGAATTGCATTTGGTTAAGTGATATTTACACTGAACGAGTGCATTTTTCTAATTTTCATTTTCCTTATTTGGGAGCTGCAAAATGGATAAAAAAAAGTTGTTAACATTTTGTCTGATCAAAGACCTTGTTGACAGATGAGAGATAATTACTAATTAATGAGACAGTTTCACCCTAATTGATAATTACCTTGCATTTTAATGCAGATGTAGAAAATATCAAAATGTATACTCTGAACAAAAGGAATTGTGAACAAAGTGCACCATCTCTATGTGACGACCTAACAATGTGTCTGTCAGCCTGTTGAATATTTTTTATCTGAAATTCAAATGTCTAAAAAGCTTCTGTCTCCAGAGTCAGGCTAAAGATGTATAAAATACATCTAAATGTTGACATAAAATGTAGAAGCTGTCGACACCGATCCTGACAGAAGCAGCATGAAGCATGCTTAAAGCTACAGACAGGCAATTATATGGAGCTGTTGCGACAGGTAAGATCAAAGACAAAACCGCATTCCAGTATCAAATTATGACAAATACGCCCCACAGATAAATCAAATCTAGCACAATACAGCCACTAAAACAACATACAGACTCCTAATACAGCCTACAGCTACCAAACATCTGAAATTCACAATAGCATGATCCGGGGCAACGTCTGTCAGGTATCATATTTTTACGGTTATTGAATTTTTAAATCTTCAATTTATACACACCTCTAAAATGAGAATTTAATTTACCTTCCAAGCGAGGTAGGTTTTACAACAATATCTTACAAAACAAGCACAGAAACGTAATGGATATCCTAGAAGTTAAACACTTGTAAAACTTGAGATTCTTCCATAAAGTGTACCCCATTCTGTGTCCTACAACAATATTGTTAATTTCAGGGACTTACAAAAACATTGTTTTCATGCCGACTTTATTAGTTTCAAGTTTGTTAAAAACTTTTCAAGAAGTATTATATAGCATTGAGTTCAACAAGTTTATTCTCATTTGTAGAAGAAATATGTGAGACTAAAGATTAAATCTGAATGATGATAGAAGTCTACTTAACAGGGATGGCATCAGCAGGTGCTTCAATCGACATCACTATAAAACATGCACTTTTTCAGTTTTCGATCACTTTGGTTTCCAGGGCAAGAACTTGTAAAAGTAATTTATCCTATATTTTAAAGACTTGTATCATTTTTATTGTAAACATTTAAAATGATAATGAAAATATTTCTTTCAAGTTTACCATATAATTTTTCTGATTCATCAGATAGCAAATGAGAAATGAAATGAGAATTGTATGACACACGTTTTATTCACTCAACAAGGAACCAGGTATAACATTGTAGTCCTTTACAGCTACGTCGTACGATTGTCCGATATAAGGTGTAAAGAATTAAACTGCAATATTACATGCAAGCCTTTTTCTTGCTGACTTAATGAGCAGAACAGAACTTAAAATGAGGTGAGAAAAAATGTTTTGTTTTGTTTTTTTTTCAGACTGAGAAAATTTAAATGTTATGCTAGAAGTTTTGGCCAAGAGAAACTAATTAATTTAGAAATCCTAAAGCAATTTGCTATGTCCTATAATCCTTAGATCTACAGCTTGAGATGAAACAAATAGGGCTGATATCAGATCAATGTAAACTCAACTGTTATTTTCATCTGGAGTCTTGTAATATGTCCACAGAGCCAAGTCTTGGGAGTGATCTGTGCCAGAAACTCTAAAACAGAACTAGTGGCTGTTTATTCAACCACTCTGTTACAATCACATATACCAGGCCTGGGCCAATGGCGGATATGGCTTCAACATTCAACGTTCTCGAAACTGTTTACTTAAGTGTTGTATTGAATTGGCAACTAGCAACTCCAGGCCATCTACCCACTGATTGCAAAAGCTCTCAGCTCTCAATTTTCAATCTTGAGAGGTGTCACAGTAGCCCCTAGGCTAAACTTATCATCAAAATCGTGCATTCTCCCTCATCACTTCCCTAACACCTTCTCTGTTGATCATTTCCCTCCTTTCCTCAGATCTTTGTTTCATAATTCTCTACCCTTTTTATGTAATTGTTTCATGTCCTTCATTTCCGCTCTTTTGCCTGCATGTTCTATTAAATCTTCCTTCTTTTGGCCTTTGATATACGATACACCCTCACCATTTACCCTCTAAAACTTCTTGCCATTTTTTCATTTGGCCTTTGATATACGATGCACGCTCACCATTTACCCTCTAAAACTTCTTATCCTTTTTTCAGTTGTATCTACTAGATGTTTTCTTCCTTCTGTCTCAGAGCCGAGTCATTCCGTGATGCCCATCCTTCTCATTTTCTGCCCTTTACACTTAAGTTATCCCTCTCTATTCTGAACCAATGACACTAAGCATTGTTTACTGCCTTTAGTTAATATTTGATATTTGTAACAGCAAATCTGATTGGATAATCTTTGATGATATAGTTTTTAGAATATAACACAATGTTTCACTGTCTTGCACTTCCATGGTCGTATAGTTCCCTTCTAATGAAGTTGTCAAGAACAAGGTAGACTAACTTTCTTTCATCACTACCTAATTTTGAATCACAACAAGCTTACAATGACTTAGACTATACTAAAACAAACTACACTTTACTATAATCCTTCACCCTGTCCATATTCAAGACCATTAACTTTTGTGTTTCTTTTAGGAAACTAACAAAAACAATTGTACACAGGAAAGAAAATTGAGTTACTGTAATTGTTTATTTATTTATATAACAATTTATTTCCTTTATTTCTCGGCGACTGATTCTTATCCTTATTGTTGTGATGTTACCAAGTATTTATCACCCTTGTCAGTAGGGAAATATCACAATTGTTCTCCTTGGATAAACCACAGTCTACCAGCAACTTTATGAAACATGATTCTTCTCCGTGGAAACAACCCATCATGTTTCCCTTCCCCTACACTTTTTCACCATAGCAGAGGTATTACATTTGACATGTCTTACTAAGCTACCTTGAAATTTAAATGTAAGTTGAAATGATGGATGCATTGTTGTGTTTTCTCATTTAAAGTTCAATGTAAAGTTCAATCCCTGAGAAAATTCTTTTTACTCCCACGACATTTATCATCTGACCAAGTGAAGCTTATACAAGCCTGCTGTATATGTATATACAGCTAAATACCAACACACACAAATCTCATCCATCTATGACGTACAGATATGCTCATCCTACATTTTGTGTACCTGGTATGCATTGCACTTATGCACAGCATTTTGCCAATTTCATCCTAAATCAAAATAATGCTGAAAATTCCTGATCATTACCAATAGATGTACATTTGCTTCGACCTTCAAATTCCACCAATGTTATGATATATTCCCAGACAAATTTCCCAGTATGTAGAGAATCTGTAGTATTTGGCTTGCTCTGCTGGAGGTTTTTCCACTCAATTACAATTAATCTGGAGAGTAACTTGAGGCTGGATGATAATTAGTCTGGTCAGTGTCAATCCTTCAAAATCACTGTCCCATCACCAAGGCCAAAGAATCATCAATAATTGGACAGTAATGCCCTCCCATCCTTGTATGTCTCTGGTCAGTATCCTTCTCCTAACCGCCTGTGTCCCTGAACAGTATTGTCCTCCAAATCTCTGTCCCTGATCAGTATTCCCTCCAAATCTATGTCCCTGATCATTATTGCCCTCCAAGCCCTTTGTGTCCCTTATCAGTATTGCCCTCCCAACCTTTTCCATCCCTGATCAACATTCCTTCACAATACCCTGTGTCCCTTGTCAGTATTCCCTCATGACCTCCTGTGTCCCTGGTCAATATTCCTTCAAAATGCCATGTGTCCCTGGTCAATATGCCTTCAAAATGCCATGTGTCCCTGGTCTGTATTCCCTCATGACCTCCTGTGTCCCTGGTCAATATTCCTTCAAAATGCCATGTGTTCCTGGTCAATATTCCTTCAAAATGCCATGTGTCCCTGGTCTGTATTCCCTCATGACCTCCTGTGTCCCTGGTCAATATTCCTTCACAATGCTGTGTGTCCCTTGCCAGTATTTTCCATCTAATTCCCTATGTCCCCTAAG